TGTGAGTTATATCCAAAAATGTATTGGATTGATTTGAATCATGTTGACATGTAGTTATGAATAAAATATACATTGCATCAAAAGGCAAGGTTAAAGGTCAATGTCACTATTAGTGCAACGTAGTAAATTTCCAGAATATATTTTTGTTAATAAAGAATGACCAAAAAGAAAAAAAAGTAGAGCTCGGTATAATAAACTTTGGATTTTATTATCTAATTGAATGCGATAGATAAATATATATTTCTATAGAAAGTTCCATTTCTGCTTTTTCGGTGTTTAGCTCACATTCTTTTGATAGCCTACAGATGTAGAGACCCATAATTCGGTCGTTTCGCACTTTAGTATATAAGTACATTGGCACATTACTCTCTTCAATGTATGGCACGTATTTTCCCTTCGAATAATTAATTAATTAATTGCAAACAACGTAGTGTTTTTGACATTAAAGTAAGGCTGGACTATTAAGGGACTCATTTTGATAGCCTACAGATGTTCCATATCTGTGAGTATCTAATCGCCCAAATTTCAGTCTCTCTGTAATATTCTTACATTGGAAACTCGTGATTAAACATCTGACCAAATATCTCACATGATTCTAGTTGTACAGACACGATTGTTGGCCATTTCATGATAAATATAGTTTCTATACCCGTCATTTAGACTCCTACGGTTATTGTTTGATTGTTTAAACAAGTAGACGTATTTATATCACATGGCATGGGGTTTAATCTTTGTATTAGTCTTGATAATTAATTTTGCAACTGTACAGATTGCAGTTATAATGTTGTATTTTGAACTGGTAATCAATTCTTTGGTAAGAAATTGTGCATGTATTAACATCAAATTTTCAATAATATGTATATATATAATTCTATTTTCGGAAATGAGATCATAAAATAATGTTCATCCGAGTACACCTCTGCTTGAACTTGGTTGTGCAAAAAACCGATACTCCATTATTCATTCAGTTCGTATATCTGAGCACAGAGATTATGATATATATATATCATAATAATGAATTCAACTTATTAAAATAATTATATTTTATAATTAAAACTAACAAAGCACAGACGAATTATTTTCACCATTTTGTAGCAAGTATAATTTTTTCTCGTTTTAAATTTCTTTTGAACATGCAAGAATAAACTAAATATATACGTACTTGTTCAAGGATTATGTCAAGCAGATGATCCGAACTTCTTATAAAGAAGAAGGAGAATTAAGGTAAGATTTCATAACACTTACTTTTATGTGCTTAGTTTGTAAGTCACAAACAATAATGCTTGTTCTAGTGCACTTAGTAAAAATGTTTTAAAGAACATAAATATTACATATTACTGCATAAAAGTGACATTTCTTTGAACTAGAATTTTAGGAGACTCGGAAGCTGTCTTCCGCGATATGGGAGGTTTCATTTGAATCGAGGTCAATTTCCCCAGTAATGTGGTAGTGCAGATCTTTACTGGAGTTCGTTAATACTTGTAGGGCTTTGGCGTCAGACTTCTACATATGGTTGGAGTTTTCTAGGCCAATAATGGCAACAGTATAAATTAGCCCGGGGGAAGGTAACCATAGCACCCTCGGTCTAAATTCTGCTCTTGCATTAATTAAGCAAGTGACTGGAATCATATATTATATGTAGATGTTATCTTTGATAAAACTTGTAGTGGTTTCACATGTGGTTACTGGCATCGTGTTGATAAAACTTAGGTTTTATTAAATTCATCACGTGTGTATATTAGAGTTGTTAGTGAACGTTGTAACTCTGCAGAGGAAATGTTTACATTTCGCGATAGAATTAAATTCGTAAATGAAAAACTGTTTCACAAACAATTAACAAAAACGATAATTAGCTTCCCTAAATAGGAGAAAGAATTATTTAAGCACTTATATTCCATACGTTGTTTTATACTTGAGACTTAAATAACATCTCAAGTCGTAATTAACTCTAGCTATGGAAAGGTATTATAACTAAACATTTACATAGATACTCAAATTACTTCATATTCGGAGTTATACATAGTATTTTTCAGAATATTTCCACAAAGAAATTAAAAATCAAATGAGAAGGTTAACCAAACCCAACTATCTACCAAAAACTACTTGGTAGTTTTCGGTAGATAGTTGGGTTTGGTTAACCTTTTCATGTAGGTAGTTTTCGGTAGATAGTTGGGTTTGGTTAACCTTTTCATGTAGGTAGTTTTCGGTAGATAGTTGGGTTTAGTTAACTTTTTCATGCATTAACCAAAATCAACTATCTACCGAAAACTACCTACATGAAAAGGTTAACCAAACTCAATCATCTACCGAAAACTACCTACAATGCCACGTATGAATGAACTATGTAAAGAAAGAAATTCTTCAGAACTTTAAGAGAGTTAAAAATTTTAAAGGCGCTGAGGTCTTCTTTAAAAATGTTAGAAACAAATAATATGAGGAGCAGTATTTATAACATATTGGAGCACTGTTCGATGAGAAATATTCATCAAACTTAATAAAATTAAAACCACATAAAAATCACTAATTTTGAAGCTGTGTTAAAATTATTTATTTACATTCATAATATTCCAATATAAGCTGTGCATAAGAACATTAAAAAGACCCCTTTTAAAAAATATGCAGTCCAAAACGAACCCACTTTCAAATTTGTCAATTCGTCCCCTTAATCATACTTCTTACGTCCACTACTATTTTATTAGTTGGAAGTTCCTTTTTTTCTTAAGATTAGTCACCAGACGTTAAGGAATAAAAATAGATGAAAACACAATCGGTTTGAATTTCTTTTATAGTGAATACGTGATTTCTAAGTTTCGACTGATTTAAGATCTTAAAGTATTTATCGTGGGAATTTACTAATACGTTTATTTATTTATTTATTTATCATAGACGATAAATACTTGACCTTGATTTTAAAAAAAATTGCTGAGACTTCATCTTATGAGGTCAGTAGCACGTAATATAGTTGGGTGACCGAAATTTCACCTATAGGATTTGTTACGACATACGGTAATAAAAATAAATGAATAAATGCAGCTTATATAAAGTACTTATCTGTACCCAGAATAAAAGATATCTAAGTGTGAAAACGGTTATTCAATTCCGGCTTATTTCCTCTCTAGTGGAAGGGCACAACAGTGGGAACACTTTAAAACATTTTGCAAAAAAACAACAACAACCAAGATATCGATCATGGCATACACCAAGTTAACTTACAGGCTATTCCATATCATTTCTATTTAACATTATCTTCCCTTTTTAATACAACTCTAACTTAAATGTGTACTTCACATGTAAGATGCCTATAGATGTAAACATACCTAGTGATTAGGTTTGGTCACTAATAGCTAAACTTAAAGTAAGGAAAACTATTGCACCAAGATACATTGACCAAAACCCAAGAAAACGATATTATAAGCACATGCATGTCCTTAACCTTAAGGTGTGGTAAGGATTGACAATAATAAAATTAAAATGCTCTTTGTTTATTTTTCGAACACTGTTAAGGACAATATTTGTGACGAACTATTTCGAGAAATCTCAATTTAAGAAACTATTACTTGTTTGCGCTAACCTCCCCTAGAGAGAGAGGACAGCTAGCCAATAGCACTCACGATCAATTTTTGAACAGGCACACTAACCGCTAAGCCACACCCGAGCCAAAAAATTTTGCATTTTCTCACTAAATGACAGGAAGGTTTATATATATATATATACACACACACACATTATATATATTTGCATTGTACTGCGTCTGTGATAAGTGCTCATGCTTTAGAACTAAGCTTACTTCATGATAAATGGCATACCAAGTGTTTTTCGTGATGTAGTTCTCTTAAAGTGCCTTTTCCATTGAAATTTGAGAAGTCGTTAAAACAGTTAGACAGTTAGCATCTTAGACACATTCTGATTCTTTATTTAATGCTTTCTTGTTTTGTTTTTGTTGAATTTCGCGTACAGCTACAGTGATGGAGTAGAGAGAGAAAGTAGGTAGTCGAACTACCCACCGCCAACTCTTGGGTTATTCTATACCAATTCATATTAAAACACTCCTTATGGCTGAAAGGGCGAGTGACCAGTAGGTAGCGAGTCCAGCACCATAACCACCAGTCCATAATACGTTTTTCGTGTCTTATCCAATCTCTAACAAAACTCGATTGCGAGGTTGTTGCTGTTGTTTTTTGTACGTGCAAAATTTACGTTCTAAAGCTTTCATTTTCTTTTGTTAGATGTTTCAATACGATTAGAAATAAAATAAAGTATGCTTGTCTTCTGGTTATTGACATTTGTTTTGTACAGACAGGATACCGGAAATGTTAACAGTGTTACTTATTTTTTTCGATAAAATTATAGTTATCAACATAACTTTTTGAAGATCGTGTAATGAGATGCGTTTAAACAACGTTGTTGTACCGTGAAAAAACTAATAAATCGCCTGAGAATTAACCTTCAATTAAATGTACACAGTATTAACAAATAATATATATAAAGACCCGAGTAATACATTATCGTTGTACTTCAAATAAGTAATAACGTTTTCAGGGTTTGATTTAAGATCCTTTACTCATCACTTAGTGTGAAGAAGAAAATTTCATAATTAATAAAGTTGTCAAAAAAAAAAATGAGTTCCAGACAAAATCGTTCCCATGGAATTTTCTTTTTCCAATCTTTCTATGATCACAACTACAAAAATGATCCAATCTTTCTATGATCATCACTACAAAAATGATCCAATCTTTCTATGATCATCACTACAAAAATGATCCAATTTTTCTATGATCATCACTACAAAAATGATCCAATCTTTCTATGATCCTCACTACAAAAATGATCCAATCTTTCTATGATCCTCACTACAAAAATGATCCAATCCTCCTAAGATCATCACTACAAAAATGATACAAGAAGAATATTTAAGAAAATAATTATATCATTCTAGAAAAATAACTTCTCTTTCTGGAATTATTGAAGTAAATAATATTAAAACAACCACCGAAACTTACCACATCCTTGACACAATACTCTCTTAACTGCTTTGTTTGTCTTTCGACTCTTCCGCAACGGCTTAGCCACGGCTATTAAACTTTTCTTCCCGGAGTTTCCGGGCCGCGCTGGTGATTGCGGTGCTGCGAAAATGATGTACTTGCTATTCCGCTCTAAGTCCTTTTCACTGAAAGTATCAGTGCAAGAGTTATCATTCAGAAATTTCAGAAATGCCACATCTTTTTTCTGTAACACTACATTTTCATTTCTCTTGTAGCTTCTCTTGACACGAAACTGCGCAACTTTATCAACAGAAGAAACTTTTAGAAGACGACCCTGAAACACGATAGGGGCAAGATGAGCCTTGGAAGCGGCATCCAGCTGGTCATCTAGGCACGTCCTGGCTGCTGTCCATCGGCACCAGGCTATCAGAAAGGTCAACACTAGCCAACTGCCGAGACAGGTCCGCATAGTTAGTGGAAATATGTCCTTAACAAGTCGAAGTTGGAGGAGAGTGAAAACACACACGAAGGACAGCACGGCGCAGACATGCTTTAAATGATACTGGGCTTGTCATGCTTTCGAGAAAGTCATCGTGGCTCGCGAGCACGTCATGCGCGATGAACTTGAGTTCTAATATATTTCAGCAAATAAAACAACTTAATAACTCGTACTTCTCGACGTTACTGATTCTGGTAAACATCCGGCAGTGCTGTGACTATAAGAATATATAAACTATTGATGTACCACCAAGAGCGCATTACTATGTCGTGTCTTCTGATCGACTGCAGCGCAAGTACACAGGGATGCGAGAGAGAGAGGCCGCACGAGGGCTAAGGCCAGTAGAGCGTTGCACGAAACGAAACTGGAAAGGGCGTAGGGTACGTCACTATACTACTTCTTTACCTTGGCGGGTTCAGTAGACCACCCCCTCTTCTCTGAGAAGCGTGGATCATACGCAGTTTCCAGTCAGCACGTGTATCGGCTTATCAACCTCCAGTCACACATAGCCATTGCTGCTAGAGACACGCGTCCCCCCTTTGTCCTGATAATCAGTGGCTAGATTATCAACTTCAAATTCACTAAACCGAAGGGCACGTGGCAAGCTCACGTTGCCCAGTCATGGCACTGAGTTAAACCGGCATATGGTTTCACAAGAGTAAATTATCTGTATCCTATAATCCTCAGACACTTTCGTCTTTGTTCATACGTTCATTTTATTACTTTATACACTTTCATATTTGTTCATACGTCCATTTTATTACTTTAGAAACTTCCATCTTTGCCCATACGTTCGTTTTATTACTTTACACTTTCATATTTGTTCACACGTGCATTTTATTACTTTAGAAACTTTTATCTTTGCTCATACGTTCATCTGTTACTTTAGAAACTTTCGTCTTTGTTCATACATTCATTTTATTACTTTAGACACTTTCATATTTTTTCATACGTTCATTTTATTACTTTAAACACTTTCATCTTTGCTCATACGCTCATTTTATTACTTTAGACACTTTCATATCGAGAAACGACAGTATCTCAGTTTGATACTTTACCCCTCATTACCAATGATCAAGAACATCTTGTGAAATAATCTTTTGTCATCAAAAAGTAAATAAAAGCACATAAACCCTTTCTTACATTGAAGATCTTGTGAAAAAACTTTGCATAAAAGACTGAACTAAATAAAACCGAATATAATTATGGAGAAATTGATAAAAGTGGAGATTGCTTGAGAAGTATCTTTAAGTCTACTATATTATTAAAGGGAAGATAAATTTGATAGAACAAGAGATAACAGGAAATTTTGTTTCGGCGTTTCAGTTATCAATAATCGCCCAATATTCCTTTTAATACGAGGTTCTCAAGAAAATACGCATATGTTTAATTGGAATGGAGAGCATATGTATAAGGAAGAATCTTAACAAAAATCATGCCTGTGTTGAGGATGTGGAATACAGATGTCACTGGCTGAATAGTTTTACTTCAGGTTCCGAAATGAATTTCAACTCTTATTTTTAAGCAATAGCCTGGTGATATATTTGGCTTTTACATGCTCTGAATGCCTAAAACGCTGTCGTAGTAATTGTTCATAAATAAGAAATAAGACAAGATTATGACAAAACCATAGGTTTCTGCAAAGCCGTTACACACTAACTAGTTTACAGCTTAGGAATGAGTAAAACACAAAGAAATGGAGGTAGGAAAACACAATTTGTATCTTTATTATTAAAGACATAGCCCGGCATGGTCAGGTGGTTAGGGCGCTCGACTCGCAATCTGCAGGTCGCGGGTTCGAATCCCCGTCACATCAAACATTCTCGCCCTTTCAGCCGTGGGGGCGTTATAATGTGACGGTCAATCCCACTATTCGTTGGTAAAAGAGTAGCCCAAGAGTTGGCGGTGGCTGGTGATGACTAGCTGCCTTTCCTCTAGTCTTACACTGCTAAATTAGGAACGGCTGGCGCAGATAGCCCTCGTGTAGCTTTGCGCGAAATTCAAAACAAACCAAAGACATAACTCTTATCTTCCATGTTCGGCAATGAAGAATGTTTCGATGATGCCCGGTCTTCAGCGAAATGTTCCATCTCATTGGATCTAATCAGAAGAACAATTAATAAAATGTTCCAATTAATGAATTTATCGTATTTTTATCATTTAACTAGCAAAAGCACAATTGAAGAAGATATGGGATATAATCCAAGAAAAGACAGTTACTTTATTTTGACGTATACTAACATATACATACATATATATATATACATACAGCATGTTAGCTGTTAATAATTATTAGATATATTGGTATACAACACAATATGTATAATACATGTGAAACATAAATAACTTTAACTATACAATTTTCATTCATTTATATTGATCATTCTTGGCCCAAAGATGTAATGTTATTTCACAATATATCTGAAGATGTAATGCTGTAGACGAGTTTGATATAATACCAGTATATAAAGTTTGTGATTATAAGTGGTTGATTTTAATATTGTTATTACAAAATTTTCAACAGCTCACATTTCATTTGTCTTATGCTATGAACGAATAAAGAGGAACTATTTGGGAGAATGTTTAAAAATTACCGTAGAAATTGTTTGTTTGTTTGTTTTTGAATTTCGCGCAAAGCTACACGAGGGCTATCTGCGCTAGCCATCCCTAATTTAGCAGTGTAAGACTAGAGGGAAGGCAGCTAGTCATCACCACCCACCGCCAACTCTTGGGCTACTCTTTCACCAACGAATAGTGGGATTCACCGTCACATTATAACGCCCCCACGGCTGAAAGGGCGAGCATGTTTGGTGTGACGGGGATTCGAACCCGCGACCCACAGATTGCGAGTCGAGCTCCCTAACCACCTGGCCATGCCGGGCCGTTTTTACTAAATATTCCAAAGAAAAGTTTCTGTAAATCACTTTCTAAATTTTTAGAATTTATTTTGAGTATATCAATGTATGTTTTTACCAAAATGAAGTCTATTACTAAAAATAAAAAATCTATAAGACATTAATAAATGTAGAACTTAAAAAAAATTATTATTCTTACATTACTGAGTTCAAAGCAGAAAAATATTTCTAATCGCAAAATTATTATTTACACTATTTTGACATTTTTTTTGCCTTTCCGATTAACATTTTAACTTAACATTTTCCTACTCTTTTTTTTTTTATTTACTGATAAGCAACTGCCAAGTTTTCCGCCTGATGGTAAATTAAGTGTAACGAAACGTTGTTGTTTAAAACAGAAGTTTTAAACACGTTTACATCGTTATCGGTGAGAAAATATATTTCAGATTAACAAGTTATCCTGTGATTTGTCATCTTGCTCTGTTTTTTGACAGAATGCAATGGGTCTAGTGGTTAGCATTTCGGGCTGTGGATCGGATGGGCCTACGCTTGAGTCGCCGTATGCCTCAAGACATACCCCGTATTTCCAACTATGGGGATGGGGTAATGGGAGCGTTATAATTATTATAGTTATAAGCAGCTGTGCAGCCAGCCTCCTTTCTCATGAGCAATTCGAAATTAGGAAAGGTTATAGCACAAACGTGGAATTTTTAACTTGGCCGCTTAGCCCATGTGTCGCATAAATTGACACTTAAATTGAAAATGACGAAACGAATTTTCATTTATTGTCCATTATTTCTTTAAGTTTCATAGGGGCAATTAGGTAAACCGTCAAAAACAAGGCAGAAACCAAAATTACAAGACCTTAAAGGATTTTGTCGATTGAAGTGTATGTATTGGAAGAGAAATGTAACCAGCAAAGAAAGATAGAGGCTGAAAAAAAGAAAAGGTCATACAAAAGAGAAAACTAAGACATTATAATTACATAATGACAAAAGAAAATAAGTGAATAAATGCAAACAAAACAGTAACACACAATTACATGCACATATTTACACTTTAGCTAGCTTTTGAGAAATGAATTATATACTTTCAAGAAAGCTATTACAGGCCATGCCACTGATTTGTAGATGTTACCTAACTGACCATCTTGGTAGTGACTTCAATCTTTCAGCAAATAATGACAGCTTTATCACTCCATGTTACTTTTGGTTAATTTGTCTGTCATCAAGGCCCAACTGACCGATGAGCAAGCATAGACAGTAGATTGGTTTAAATATATGACATACCTAAAATCACGTTTAAAAGTGAGCAGTAGCGGATTTCCCGATACTAATAAAAAGTAGTGTTTTGACATAAATCTAAGAAACATTATAAAACATTATCATGATATAAAAAAACAACAACATACTTTTTCTTTTTCCCTCTTTGCTCGTCCTTGAACTAAATTAACTTTAAACTTACCAATTATAAAAAATATAAACAGCAAAATAGAAAGTTATATATAAATATATATTTACTTTGGAGTTAATATGACCACTCCTAGTTGACATTGGTGAGGATCGTCAACAAGATCACTGTCAACCATCGTGTCTCATTATAGGCTTATTATGTGATTTCCTCAAAAGACCTAGCACTTCTCAATCCCGGCCCTGGCAATAGTCTTCTTCTCAAAGGAATCATGTTCAGGTCCCTCTCTGGCAGATGGATAAGGCTTAACAATGGTGCCTTCCCTTGGCACACCTCTCAGTTAGAAATTCCAAATAGTGACTTAGTTTTCTGACTGATCCAGCAATGGCAAATGGTGCTCCTTCTGGCTCAAGTTGAGCTGTGGCTATTATTCCAGTTCGAGTAAGGCTGTTGGTCAAGGCAAGCACTTAAGAACTAGTAGTCATTGAGCCCATGGTGGTGGCTGTAGAAACTAGCCCTGATGATGGTAACTATGTTAGCAAAACTAATCGGTTGTAACTAATAATAAAGATTTTACCTTTCTTTGTGCCAAAAAAACGTCAGTTTTTCTGTTCTTTACTTTTAATTCTCCTGTTATGATCATAAACTTCATGTTCAAAAATAAATATATTGAGTCCTCCAGCTTCATATAAAATGTCACCAGTATGGTTGATTAGTTACATCTCAGAACATTTACTTATCTAGCATGGTTTGCTTGTAAGCAAGCATAAAACTACACAATGGGCTATCTGTGCTGTGTCCACCACGGGTATCGAAACCCGCTTTATAGCATTCTAAGCCTGCAGACTTACCGCTGTGCCACAGGGGACAGCTGGCATGGTAAATATAGTTAGATTTATAAATGAGATTGGAACCTACTTGGGGGGGTCAGTTCTGGTCACAGCTGAACTCTAGGTCAAAAATACAGGCTGCAGTAACTTTGGCCAGCACGATCCACAATG